TTGTTTTGTTCTTTATGAAGTTAATGGTATTCACCAATTTAATTTGAATAAACTTTACCAGTAATACGCAAGAAATCGGTATACGCGTACAAAACTAATACAGTGAAACGTAATAAGGGCTTTCACGAAAACTCGTAAATGCTACATTAACTTCGTATACATATATATTGCATAAATTTAATCCTTATATTAATTTATCACTCAACTTATTGATATATATTGGATAATTATAATAAATAATTAGTATTTCCATATAATGTTTACTTTACAGATGATGACTTTAGACTAAAATATAAATATCGATCAAATAAAAATTAATGTAAAATAAATTGTGACTTCTTTTTCTTAATTTTTATTTAACTTTAAAAAAAATTTAATCATTTAGCTTGAAAAAAGCACTTATTAAATTCATTTGGTCACAAAATAATTAATATATAATTTTAATTCTGCCTCTACACTGGTACGGCTTATGACAAGATTTTTAAACACAGTCTCACGTTTTCACTAACACATAAAAAATTTTCTTTGCAAACATTATTCGAAAATAATACGTATTTGTATTCGAACATAAAAATCGTACTAACGTCTAGCCAGTGTAAACGCTCAGTTAGTAACGAGTAAGTTTTGCCACCACCATTAATTTATTACTCTGTTAAAATGTTTAGATTTCCAAGTGTTATGCCCAGAAATATTGAATTTTCTAATAAGAATCAACTTAATCTTATTAAAACTAATTTAGTAAACTGCTATATAACTTTGAGAAAATTTATTTTCTAGTATATAATTTCTTGGCATAATCCCCTAACTCTTATTATAATTAAAGTAGTGAACTGTAAAAAAACTTCGACAAAAACATATGTTTTATAAATTTTGGTATATTCTGTCTACTTCTCCCATGGAACTTCTCGTCGGTCGTCGGTCGTACACTAATCACCTTGTCTATGTACGAACCAACGCTATTCCTGTGGTACTACAACGGGCCATTATTTAAGCTCGACTGGGCTTTCTTGGTACACAAGTCCGCCACTTTAAACTAACCTAACCTAACCCATGGCACAGTCCTGGCTACACAATTGCATTGTCTATTTGGTAGATAATAACTCGTATTATAATAAAGTAGTCGAATGTAAAAAAACTTCGATAAAAATATATTTTTTATATTTTTTGGTATATTCTGTCTAGTTCTCTCAGGGCACAATCCTGGCTACACAACTGCATTGTCTATTTGGTAGATAAGTTTTTAGGCTGGCAATTTTCTCTCATAAATATTGTAAAAGTTGTAAAGATGTCGATTAGTGGTCAACATTCTATCTGCAACTGGACAGTTCTAGACAGAGCGGAATAAACTTCTTAGACAATTATGTGTTTAATTCATTCAGAGAAGTGTCCATCTCTTATATTAAAAATATCTTAAGTTTTTTTAGACAAACCAAAATTGGTCCATAATACAGGCCATATATTAAGTAGTAGTATGACAAAAGAAGACTATTGGATCTAAGTGAGTTGATTATACATTAACCTAATTTTAACCTACATCAATATTTTGCTTCTTTATTCGTGTCAAGTTGTTTAATTTAATATAATAAAAAATAATAATTTTTTTATTTCTCATAATAATATTAGGCTATGTATGTTATAAAATATTTAATTAACAATTTATATAAAATAATTTAATTAGAATGATGGCAGTAGGTCCAAATTGTCCGTACAAATAAACTTGTCCCACACGAACTGAACCTCTTTACTTTCAGATGTATTGCATATTATTTTATTAAGAAAATATTTTAAAATAATTTTATATATACATTAATATTTATTTAGAAATTAACAAATTTTATAAAGTAGGTGAAGTCTTTATATAAATAGTAGAAAAAAAAAAACAATTTAAAATTCCAATTATTCAACATTTAAATATTTTTAATATAATTTTAAAAGTTTAATTCTTAATTTTAAAAGTCTTAATTTTGATTTTTTTATGTGAAATCTTTTTTTTTTTTTTGTGATTATTTGATTTATATGAAAAACACCAATATTAATTATATAATGATTACAAACTACATACAATTATTAAGGACAAGGACGAATGTTCATTTCATTAAAATACAAATATTCCTCTCTAGTATGTCATCACTTTTTTACGTTTAAGAACAATTTAATATTAAATATTTTGAGTTAAAATTTTCAATTTTCAATTATTTATTATTTATTATATATCATATGATTTCTTAAAATATATATGCATTTAGGAGTAAAGAAGTATTGTCTAAAATAGTGTCATAATTGATAAAATGAGCATTTTGAATAATACAATCCAGTTATTTGTGTGTTATTTTGTGTAATCTATGTGTGATGTGGATGCATTCTTTTTTCCATTTCAACTTCAACGCGTGCCTCGTCAATGCTGGAAACTGTTGGAAGGCCACCAGGCCATTGCAAAAGATCACTTTCATGCTCCATAATCATATTGGCTTCAGCTAAAAATAAATAAACAATTTTATTACTATATAATAAGATTTTTTTTCTAATGAAAATAGTGGTAAAGTTCCTACTCATTACTCTTCCAACTTCCGTTATATATGTTTATTTCGTTATACATATATTCTTTTAATGCACTGTTAATGCATTTTCAATTTCGATTAGTAAATCTAGGGCAAAATGTATAACACTCGAGATTAATTTATAACACTCTAGATATTTTGCCAGAGTAGCAAGGTTGCCCTAAATTTAACAGCTATTTTATATAATTTGACAAATATGTAAACAATGTTCGATTGGAGAACAAAATTTGACAGATCGAAAGTAGATTGAATAGCCATAAGTTACCACTATGTTAGTAATATTACTATACTAATTTTATTATACAAAATAACCATCTTTTAATTGTAATTTTAAGCAGAATATTAATGGTATACCTATCAGATATATAATTTATAATATTAATTTTTACGGTGCCGAATTTACCATAAATTAACACACACTATGTTAGTAATTCTTCCATAGAAAATAGTAAATAAAAGGTTCTTAATAATGTTTTAAATTCTTTATGAAGAATTAAAAAGATATATTACTTCATAAAATATTATAACGGGAAGGAACTAGACAATAGTAATTTTATCATATGAAATAGAAAATTTAATAAAATTATAAAAAATTATAACTAATTATAATTAAAGAATTATTGTGAATAAAGAGATAAAAATTAATGTAGCCCCATTTTTTTCACCAGGTCCTAATAATTTTTTAAATTCTTTATGAAAAATTAAAAAGATACTACTTCATAAAATATTATAACGAGAAGGAACTAGTCAATAGTAATTTTATCATAAGAAATATAAAATTTAACAAAATTATAAAAAATTATAACTAATTATAATTAAAGAATTGTTGTGAATAAAGCGATAAAAATTAATGTAGCCCCATTTATTCCAGTAGGTCCTAATTATGTTTATATTCTATATGAAGAATTAAAAAGATATATTACTTCATAAAATATTATAACGGGAAGGAACTAGTCAATAGTAATTTTATCATATGAAATAGAAAATTTAATAAAATTATAAAAAATTATAACTAATTATAAATTAATTAAATTTATAATTATATGGTTATAAATAAATATAAATTTTAATGGTAAATTAACTAACTCATAAATTCTTACCAGGAAAGAAGTACGAGAAAAACAGAAACAGAAAAAGGAATTATTTTTTATATGGTATGATACCTTGTATACGATGCGGTTTGCTGCCGTAACTCATGTCGTAATAATATCCTATTAAGAAAGTCAATGGTACTAATGGCATTAGAGCAAAAGGTTTCCTTATGCGTTGATAATAAATAAAAGCACCAAAAGCTGAAGTTATATAAAATCCACTTAACCACAAAAATAGTTCACGTTTTCTCGCTAGCTCCATAGCCTGTTCTCTTTCTTTTATTTGGTAGTGCATTTGTATCCAGCGCTCCATCTAATTATATAATTTATTATATTAAATTTATAAAATAAAAATATATATGTACATATACAAAATAAACAAAACTCACTTTAAGTTCTTGACATTTTCTGTAAGAAGGGTCGTCGTGTTGAGAATATGTATTCACATTACTGGATATTTTTGATCCCATTATTGCATAAAAAATTTATAATTTAATTAAAATATTTAAATATTCGTATATTTATTGGTTTTTATATTTTATAGAACTACGAGTAAATTAGCACCAATTTTTAATTAAAAATACAATTTTATTCCTTTGAAAGAAACCTAAAATCTTAATTGTTTAATAGTTTTTGTGAGTTTGCGCGTTTCAAATCTGTTATACTTTGATGTAGAACAGTTAATTTGGTAAATATTTTTACCGTAAGTAAGATATGAATTGTTTCTTAAAAAACTTTGAGCTTTAGATCTATATACTATATATATATAAATTATTTATATAACTGTTAGTTGTTAAATATAGCAAGTTGACACATTTTAATTATCATTATTTAATAATTATCATTTTTAATTAACATTTTTAATTATTATTTTTTTTACATTGAATATGTCTTATGTAACCTTTCTCATAAATATTTTATTGATATTTGGAATAATTATTAAATTTAATAAATTAGAATTTTTTATGAACTGTGAGAAAAAATAATTGCCACTATTGATAAACAATAAACGATGGAATAACAACTGTTATAAGCAGTCATCTTGAGTCTTGAGATTATAGTTAAAAGCCCGCTTTATCATAGCATTTTGTGATAAAGTAATAAAAAGCATAAAAGTAATCAATTAAACGTGTGCCCAAGGGCAAGAAGCTGCTTGAGAGGCTAAGAAATGAATCGAAGAAATATAGATGTACATATGCATATGCATTATTAAAGAATTATGACTGCCTGACACTATAACATTTCTTTTAAATAACTGAAATTATTTAATAGATTATTTTATATAAATAACTGACTTCAAGCCTGCCATCCCCTACTACAAGCTCCTTGCCATACGTGTTGAACAAATACAAATCCGGCAAGGTCTATAGAAGAAAGAAAGACCTAAACCATTGTTTAAATGAAGTAAAAACTATTTGTACAACTATTTTTAAAATCAGAAGTAGCTCTAAATATAATAAAATATTGCATATTTACTTACATTTCTATAAGATTCAATTTTATCCCCCAATCCGTTGTTGTCTGATTAATGTCACCTATCAGTTGTTTTCCTACTATACCCACATCTTTTGTTATTTCTAATAAATTTTTTGATTCCATGGAGTTATGAATTTTTGTTCTTGTCAAAGCTTTCACTTGCGCTTTTGCATCTGTAATGTTGAGCAAACATTTTATTGGGTCTTTAATATTATAATAGACGATCGTTTCAACAGCAATATATTTTGAATCCTTTGTATGCAGCGCTTGATTCAATATTTTGAAGCTCGTAATACGTATATCAAATTTATGACATCTATCAATACAAGGCATTGTAAAAACTATACCAGGACCCTGTACCACGCCTTTACTATAAAAAACAAACCAAAAAAAAAAAAAAATGATTGAATATTTATCGAGTTCATTATTAAAATTTATATACCTTATACGTCCAAGGCGAAATATTATTACACGTTCAAAGTCCTGTAAGTACTTAAAGCAAAAAGGGATCGAGAATGGGAGGGTGATCGCGACCATTAACATGGATAAAAAATAAATGAACTTTTCAATGCTAGACGCCTCATCATAAAGTGCTAAAATTAAATAATTTATTAGTTTATTTTTGTAAATTAATCATGTTTTTATTTTATAATACATGAGAAACAATATCTATTCAGGTGTTTGTATTTATAACTTTCCGACATAGAAAGAATTGTTTTTTTGACTACCAAAAAAAAGTACTTAAATTTAGCATAGATATCTATTAATGAAAACATTGTTTTATTATAAAAAGTTTTTTAAAAATTTTTTTAATATTATTGAAAAAAAACAAATGAAAATAATTTACATGCTTATATGTCTATATACAAAATTATAAAGAATCAATATAAATCAATTCACTTACAACTTTTTAAAAATGTATTATATTATATATATATGTATAATATATATGTATTATAATAATTTATTATAAAAAATTATTAAAGTTACCTCTTAATGATTTGTTAGAAATAATTTGCTTATATGCGTATAATACACGTATAATATATTTTACTTATAATACATAGTAATAATAATATACAATATAATTAATATATAACATATTTATAATAATATAATAATAATAATATAATAATAATAATATAATAATAATAATATATATAATATAAAGAATACAATCCTTTGGTTTAAGAAACATAAAAGGCACGATAAAGGAACCAAATAGGCATTTGTTTTCAATATTATCCAAGATAGAGATTGCTAAAGAAAATTATATATTCAAAAGGACTTCCTTTGCAGTAATCATCAAAACTTCTATATGTATTAAAAACGATACATATTGTTTATTAAATATCTTTAGATTTGTTATTTAGTTTGTTATGCTCGAATTTGGATATATAAAATATAAAGTCTCAATTCTGAAATTATTTTAATGTAAATCTCATTTAGTTATATTACTTAATGAGTTCAAAGTAGTAGAGTAATCACAAACTAGCGTTATAAATTTTTTGTATTAAACTTGAGCACTTCCATACATCTATCGGCTCCTAATCGAATCTGAGTCACGCGCATGCTGGCTTAGTTAAACTTATTCTCCTTAAGCCTCTTGCTCATATGTCTTTCCCCTGATTACTGGAATGAAGTTTTCACATTCACATCTCCATTCATTCCTAAGAGTTGGTTTTAGTGGGTTTAACCCTTTGATGCTTTCTATCTACTGTAAAAAAAAAACACATCTCTCGGAATCTTCATTGGTTTCTCCATCCATTTCGAACATATTTCTTCCCATTGAAAGACTCATGCCAAACAGTATTTCACTGCCTTCTTACATCTTTAAGGTGTCAGCTATCTCCATTAATTTAAGTGCCATTAGTGTGTAAATGACTATATCTAACGTTTAAACTCAGGTTAGATTATAGTTATTATAAAAGTTTTTTTCATCTATGTTAAATTTCCGTTACTTTTTGACCTAACTAAAAATCAATTTGATTAACTTATGAAATTGTATTTCTTCCCTTGTTTTGCAAAAACCAAAATTAGTCATATTATAAAGTATTTATACATATTATTTAAAGGTTGTCACATTCTAAAAATTATATATATGTTTTTCTATTATACTATTGAAAATAAACCATTTAAAAGAGCAATAATGTTATATAGTAAACTACCATATTTATTGTGCTATTCGAAAATAAATTTATCTAAGCTAACGTGAACTTATTAAGGTCCTTGATAAACATATGTAACACTTTGTCCATTGACTGCATCACTGTATTAGCATTTACCGCAGAACGAGTAGAACATTAGGGTCTGAATATAATCTTAAGCAGTCATTATCGATGACAAACAGGAAAAGAAGAAATCAGTGGAGGCTCACCGCGATTATTACTGGTTTCTAGCCTAATGTAGAACAGGTTGCCAAATTAAGTTAAGATATACTCAATAATACTCACTGCTACAGCTGCTACAGTTTAAGGGAAATTATCCTCCATTTTCTCTATGCGTATCCTGCTCTCTCGTAGAATTAGCGTAAGTTTATAATAATGACATTATAGTACATTAATAAAATGTGTTAGATATATGACATTAATAAACTACATATATACATATATGATATTAATAAACTGTACTGGATATGCGACATGTGTGACTTACTATTTGCTTTTTAGTTTCGAATGAGCTTATACTAATTTTACCATAACCATAATTTATTGAATATTTGTTATATTAAACCAGAGTTTCTTTGTCTTTTCAAAACTTTAATTAACTTATTTTTTTTAATAAACTGTAAACTTATTCAACTTTCATTTGGAAAGGCATTCTTATCAATCTTTATAATTCATGATGCAATTTATATTTTTTTATTTTATTTATTTAGATTTTATTTTTAATAATTTATTTTTAATTATTATAATTTAAATAATAAAAATATTAAACTCAAATTCTTTAATGAATTTCATTCACATATTTATTTATCATACCATATACTAAATGAAACAAATTTAAAACCAGTTGCATCTGCGAGTAAGCGCTCTTTATATATTATTTACGATTAAAATATAAAATGTATTTGCTTATAGTGTACATATATACACATATATACACATTATCATCTCAATAAAAATTATTCTGTTTTATGAATTGCACACACAAATTTGTCGGCTAAGTCACATCTTATTAGTCGTACCAGTGAGTATCTACTAGCGAACGTGTAAGAGTATCTTGCATCTATGAACTTGGGATTTATGAATGAATTGCACATAAAACAAAAAGCAGCTGTTCAATGTTTACGTTTAGAAAGCCGGCCGGAGCACGTGTTAACCGGCTTTTCGGTAAATACCGCTATATTTTTGTTTTGTATAACAGTTGCAATTTTTGTTAGTATGTGCATAGGCTTGTGGACAAAATTTCGAACAGCTAACTATGTCCATATAACACTTTCACTTCAGTAGGAAAAGGATGTTCGAGGCTGTTGGTTGGAAAAATTTTTGTTCAAAATCAATTTTATGATGAATTATTTTTACATTAAAAAATAAATAAGAATTTATGTGCTTCATTATATTTAAATGTTGAAAAATTGTTTAATAACAAAAAAGTATGAAAATAATTAAGTATTTTTAAACATTTGAAGTTTTTTAAAAGTTTGTTGTGAAGTTTATGCAATATTTTTTTGTGGCTTAAAAATGTTTTTAAATGCTTTAATTTTTACAAATTTTTGCTTAAATAAGTTTTAGTAAATATTTTTAAATAATAATATTTGGTTTATATTGTTTTTAAACAATTTTAAATAAGAATTATTTAAATTTGAAAAATTTGAGTGACTGGCATGAAAAAATTTTGTGTATCTATACGATATGAAAAAAGTGTATACGCAGATTGAAGTACCCGAAATCATGGACATAGGAGCGCTAGTGTTTGAAATGTTTGCTTTAGATTCATATCTTATCGGTTGGAAATATAAATATTTACTTAATATGTTTTTTATGTGAATTGATATTTACGAAGTTAATTTGTATTTTGTTGAGATGTATTTATTTGTCTGCAAATAGTTCGTTTAAATTCTATATGAAACATTATTTCAATATTGTCCGACCTGACGTATACGTAACTTTGTTTTGAAACGAGGGCAGTTGTTTTAACATAAACGTTGTGAATTTATAATAATAATAAAAATTTTCATATAACAGCTAGAAATAATAAATATAATTAGAACAGAAATTACTTAAATTATTACAAATATATAAATTGTAGAAAAAATAATAAAAAAAAGATGTAATATAAAATAAAAATAAAAAAGTAGAAGGATTCGATAACAAAGAGAATGCAACAACAAAAATTTAGTTAATTTATTGAATCAAAATTGCTTCTTTGCGCTCGTAAGAAGCGTAGCTTTCGGCAAAAATAATTAACTATAAAAAATATTTATAATTAATAATACAATAAATAAATAAATATGAACAAAAAATTGTTCGGAATAACAAAAATTTAAATATTAAATAAATTAATATTAATATTCTTATTA